TCAAAACAGTGCTTTATTTCCAGTTCAAAAATTCCTAAGTAATTGTTTAATCAATTAATATTGCTAAAAGTAATAAGATGCTTAGATTAGATTAACATTATGTTCGGTTGTTTTCAATTACTATGTCTTGCACAACAAATCAAGTCACGTTTTAGGCATTACGTTAGTCGAGGTATGTCAAAGAATACTTTTAATTTGGGTATATATTCTAGATGTTCTAGATGTAAGGACAAAGAAATTAGTTTCCTTCCACCCAGGCTTTACTAAAAACGTACATGGGTGTATAAAAAATTTTGTACATTGATATTTTCGATGCAAAATGACGGCAACTGGGCCAACCCTACTAACTTCATCTGTTAATTAAGCAATATGTATGTTGGAAGGCTTTATTTTCGGGATTCAGCAAAGACAGCCTAATTAAAAGTTGTTCAAGCAAATATTATATTTAGTTTTGTCAGGAAACCCAAAAATACAAACATAAATGAGAGAAGACAAATGCAACAATGTATACATTTTGGAAGTATGGCTCGTATATGTATATACATTTAAGATTCTCGCAAGTAAAGATAAATGTACAAAAAGTATTACCTTTGAGCATTCCAATGATTAAGGTGAAACTACGTCATTAGAGCTTCGAAAGCGAAAACTATAAAAGAAACTATTTTAACTGCTAAACTTAGCGACAAATCTCTCGCTTGCAACTTACACTCACTACTTACTAAGGAAGCACTCACAGAATGCTTTCCTCATAAATAGAAAAAAAAGTAAGGAAAATTACCCACAGGAAGAACCTGAGCTTATCTGTAGCTGCAGCAGCAGCTCAGCAAACCTATTGCTTCGCTGCGAGAACATCCGCTGAGGAAAACCGACGACGCAATTGTTTCATGCCACCCAACTACTTGCCGCTGCTGTTGGAAGGGTCAATGGAGGCGTGTTTAATGGCTTGCAAAAGTGAATGTTGGTTGTTTTGTAAAAACACGCGCGCTTAATAGCCTGGAAAGTTAAGCGGCATCAAGAAAATGGCTGCTTGCGGCCATGCGCCTTCAAGTATGCAATGCAATTGCCAAAGAAGAGGTAATTTGGCTTGAACTTACAACGCTTTGCGTTACCACAGTGATGCCAGCACTAAAAACGGTAGTATTCCCGGTGATTGCATTGCCGCAGCCGCAGCCACAAAGTAGCTAATGAAGCAATTTGAAAGGCAAACTTGGCAGGAAATTGCAGTGTTGAGTGCTTGGATTAATTTGTGGCATGCAACAACTCTACATGTACAACAGCGGTGAGTGTAGCAAAAGCTACACGAATCAAGAAGAGGCGACAATTAGCTATGCGCTTGAGGGAAAGCGGCAAGCATCGTATAAAATTAAGGTAGCACCTAAAAAGCGGCTTCGGGCACACGCACGCATTTACATACAAGAATGTATATCTAATTTAAATTTCTCATAAAAGTCAGGCATTTAATTTATATAGTGTCGCCGCAAGTGATAGTGTCGCGAAATCGCTTCCATAAAAGTTTGTTGTGATTTGCGGTTGTTCAAACACATTAGTATGTGTGTATGTAAATATAAGCAGCACGGGTTAACTTTGGATAGAGCTGCACAGCTGTCGCGTTGATTTTATTGCCGCTTGCAGGCGTTAGGACGAAAAGGCTCGCGATTTAATTACTTTGTGTGTTTAATTTTAAATGCTTTTAGCAATTAAATGTTGCGGATTTCGCTTTGAGTTTGCGTTTGTATGTTCTATTTCTGCCGTTAAACTATAAAATTTAACCGCTATGAATGTAATACAACATCTTTATTACTTTTCGGGAAAATGTTGCAAAGCAAAAATATTTCAAATTTAGATTTTACATTTTCTGAAATTTAAAATCACTTTCTGCCATTTAAAAATGTTTATTTTAATGTTGATTTTTTTGCTTCTTTTCCGGTATAATTATTTGTTACTCATATCGATACTCGGTATATTGGTTCATGACTAAATCCATTAGTATTTTCTCATATAAGTCTATACAGAAACTTCGTAGTATTGTGAAATCTTGTGCAGCCTACGTGACCTAGTATGTACACCACAAGGGTTAAACTTAATATAAGCTTTACATATTAAAGCTGCTTTGAGTTGTGTAATTTACAAATATATTATATAATATATCATCATATTACTTGTATAACAGATGTTTCCATCTCATCTTCTTCCATACAACTTTAGCAACTTGCTTCCGACTGAGTTTTTAGCTTTAAATAAATTTTTAGCTTTTTATAAATGCCTCTTGAATTATGTCCCGTAAGAACTCCTACGCTTGCGGCAAACTGAACTTTGCTAAGAGCTAGCAGTTCAGTAGGTATTCTTCGATGTGAGAGCGGTAAGGAAGCGCCCTCCACCATACGAATACATCATAGAGCATTATTGGCTTGACTACGGCATGGTTTGGTGAGAGTCCCCATTTCGTCTCTATAGCTATACTACAACAGTATGAGGCAAATAATACCTTCTTGACCATCTCCTCAATATTTGTCATGAAAACTTTCAATCAAGGACAAGTACCAGGTATTTCACCTTACCAACAGGTTGAAAGCGTGCGCTTTAGCTCGTAGATGGTAGTTAGAAATTACCTAACTAATTAAACTCTGTTTTCTATAAAATATCATGGAATCGTTCCATATTTGTAAACTTTTCACCAACTGATGCTAATTTCGGGAATACCTAACTCATAGAATATATTGGTATACAATTATAAAAGCTTTCTCTGTTCTCAGTGCGATTATAATAGTATATATATGTATATATGAATAACCAGATCTTTTAAAATTTATGGTATATAGAGTTCATTTGTTCATTCACAAAAATACCGTTGGCTCACTGAGAGCTCCTCTGCTGCCGTGCCTACCACATGATCCTACTGACTCATTTGGGGGTGGTTATACAATAAGCATAATAAAGGTTATTGAATCGCGCTAAAACACCCGCCATGTCGCTAGACGGAATACAGGCATTCCAAATTTCTGAAGAATTCAAAATCTCTCTGAGGGTTTCCCTCCTAGCCGCTGATCGCTGTCCTGAACTGTTTATTGCTTATTAAGTATCATGATCCACAAATGTTGCACCGTAAGCACAAGTGTAATGGAAGACCGAAAATTATTAGCTTCCTGTATTTTTCTTTTGCATGTTAAGATAATAAAATTTGGCTCTGTATGAAAAGCTTAGAACTCATACTTTCTACGTCAATTTAGACCTAGAAATTTAAAGAAAATTAGCGAAGCAATCCGCCATTTCTATGCTCGCTGACTTTGGATGCTGCCCTTACGAAAAAAAATCGAACGTAAATTGCTGAAATGATTTTAGTAAATAAAAGTTGGAATCTTTATTAAAATATATCTTTAATATAACTATACCCTACTACGAAGTTTGTAACGCCTAAGTGAATCCTGTAAAACACATGTAGAAATGGTCAGTGTGACGAGCTGAATTAATTTAGACTTGGTCGTCTGCCTGTCTGTAGATACGCGAACTAGTTCCTCAAATTTTGAGATATCGATCTTAAAGTTTTCACACGCTGCTCAGTTTTTGGATCTGATATCGTGCCATCATAACATATAGCTGCCATACAAACTGTACAATCAAAATCAAGTTCTTGGAAAACGTTTTAATTTGTCAAGATATCTTCACATAATTTTACATGGATGGTTGTGCAAAGCAACGGTACAATCTTCGAACAAATTTTTTAGATCGGATTACTAAAGCATATAACTGCCATACAAGCTGAACAATTAAAACCAATGTTGTTGCCATGTGTTCGATTCGTTACTCTTTAAATATCAGCGAACCAATGACAGCTAATATTCGTGCAAACCTAACATAACAAAGTTTTGCGAAAAGCGCAAAATTGTCGATAGTTTACTTTACGAGTATATGTTATTAAGATTTTAAAGAAGCGTGTGATTTTAAGTAATATGCATAAATTTATGAAATAATCTGTTGTTTTAGTAAATATAACAATAATTCTGTAATTATCTTAGCCAACTCTCCAAAACTTGTTACATCGAAATTCCATTTGATTCATTTCTAAAGCACAGAAATTTCCAGAATTCACTTTCGAAAGTGTATTCCAACACAACCAGAGCCAAATTGCGTTTGTTTCATTGCATTTTCTACATTTCATTTGAGTTTGTACAAATGTATGTGTTATGAAAACTCTTCGCTACTGTTCCTTCTGCTTCCTTGTGGTGTGGTCGTAAAAATTCCCAGAGGAACACTTTCACTCATTGCCCCTAAGCAATTTACATCATTTCCATCCCTCAGCGGAACCCACAATTTCGCCATTCAACTATGTAGTTCAATGGCGCACCCGAAGAGCGACCGTCCACTTGTTGTTGTTGTTTTGAAAAATTGTGTTTTCAAATAAAACTGCAATTATTTGCTTTTGTTTGTTGTTGGTTTTTTGTAGATATTTTTTTTTTTGTTATTTTGTTATTTTGTTGTTTTGTCTGTTTTGCTTTACAACCTCTTTGGGCATTTTGTTTATAACTTCTTGTTTTGGCATTTTATTGCCTACCGCTAGGCATACCATAAACGTTTTATGCGATGGCTATTTAACATTTATTGTTATTTAAATATAAAAATATTTAAGATTTCCATCAGTTAATGTTTTCCACACCTACGTCAAGCGTGTCTGCAACGAGGCCTCGCAACAACAAATAAAATTCCTTTTAACTACTTTTATATCACTTTTCCATTAGGACGGTTCTACGCTCACTAGCATAAGTATGTGTGTGTGTATGGGTGTTTGTATCCCTCACTTCTTACTATTAATAGCAGTTGCCAGTTTTATTTGCCTGCCATCCTAGAATATTGTAATTTGTTTACAAAAGTATAATATACTCGTATAAGTAAATATGTATGTAGATATATACATACAGATCTATGTATATATTATATACTTTGTACTTTTATACATAAACAAATTTATAACCTTTAATTTTTTTCTATTCTCATTTCCTTTGCAGTGCGATGAGCCGTTATCCGCCGGTGACATTGTGGTCTTTGCCCAACGTGTCGGCTCGCAGATTTGCTGGCATCCTGGTTGCTTTGTTTGCTGTGTTTGCAAAGAATTACTTGTGGATTTGATTTATTTTCATCGTGATGGCAATCTTTATTGTGGCAGACATCACGCCGAAACGCAAAAGCCACGCTGCTCCGCCTGTGATGAGGTATGTACACAATTATATGTCTGTAGACTGTAGATTTGTATAAAAAGTAGCGCTTTGTTTATTTTTGTCTGCGCAACTTGCTTTCCTTTGCCCTTGAGTCTGAACCTCTCATGCATATTGTATGTGGATTTCTTGGATTTGAATTAGTTAAGTTGTATTTTCTTCTGGTTTACAATTTAAGCTTATTAGAGTAAGTCTGATTTTCTCGCATTCGGATCATTAGTAGCTATCAATATTGACATGAACCTGTTTAACATTTGTGGCTGTCTCTTTAGATATTATAGTTAGGGGACACGAAACATATTCTTCTCATTCTAGTCCTTTTGTAAATAGGAAAGCCAATACCTTAAGTTGTCAGACTTTTTAGTTGCTCTTCCAAAAATTGGAAAGTCTGGAACGAACAATGTATTTAGTACATTGAAACGCTATATACGAGAAAGAACTTTCAAATCTTTAAAATGAAAATATGCTTAGTTTTTTCATACTTTCAAGGAAAGTAAAGAACTGCCGCTAGGGTAAGAGAAAGACAGATATGGAAAGAGCATTTCATTATCTATGATGTATAGGATTAGAGACATTTTTATTAGCACATCAAGTAGCTCATCATAAATGGAAAAAGAAAAGCAACCAAAATTCCAAAAATAAAAAATATTTACACAACGCTATCAAAAGTACAATAACATTCTAATTAAAACCATTGAACTACATATGAAATTAATTTACAAAACAAACAGTTTTTCTACTTTTTCATCAACGTATATTTTCCCTTCATTTTTTCCCACATTCCAGATAATCTTTTCGGATGAATGCACAGAAGCGGAAGGTCGCACTTGGCATATGAAACATTTCGCCTGCTTCGAGTGCGAACATCAGCTGGGCGGTCAGCGTTATATCATGCGTGACGGCAAGCCCTATTGCCTCAACTGTTTTGACACCATGTTCGCCGAATATTGTGACTATTGTGGTGAAGTGATCGGCGTCGATCAGGGGCAGATGAGTCATGACGGCCAGCATTGGCATGCCACGGATCAGTGCTTCTCGTGCTGCACTTGTCGCTGTTCACTCTTGGGTCGACCATTTCTGCCGCGCCGTGGCACAATTTACTGTTCGATTGCTTGCAGCAAAGGTGAGCCGCCCACACCATCTGACACCAGTTCGGGACCACAACTGCGTCCGACGCATCGCGCTAGCACAACAAGTCAAATAGCGCGTTCACCGCGACCGGGTGCGCGACATAAAGGCAGCGGTGGTGGCGGCGCGGGTGGTAGTAACGGCAAGAGTGCTGGCAGCGCGGGAGATTTGTTGGAACGGCAGGCGCGTCAAAGAATGGAGGTGGGCATTGATCGTTTGATGATTGTGGGTAAGCTGGCTGCGGGTTGTGATGCCATTATGCCGCCGCTGCCTGGTGTGCCACGCCCTGCACATCCGCCGCCTATAGACCTCACCGAGCTAGGCATAAGTTTGGATAACATCTGTGCAGGCGACAAATCGATATTTGGTGATCCCAGCAATCTTACATCCTCGCTGCCCGACATGCTGATGTCGAAGGGTGAGGACTCACACAGTTATCAGAGCATTGACAAAATCAATATAAATTCGCCGAGCGCTTCTGAGCTCACGCAAAGTACGCAAGAAATCACCAATGAACTGGAACTTGAAAATGACGACGAAAACTGTGAATTGCCACATGACAACTACGAAATATTGTTGAATACGAAGCGGTCACGCAACAAATCCGATATTGATGATGACGACGAAGATGATGACCTTGACCATAGCGACGCTGATGAAAATGTACGTCCGCACTTGAAGGAGGTACGTTTTCATAGTGTACACGACACCATGTCGCGTTCGAAGAGCTACACGGACAGCACAAATGCGCGACGTCGACGCAAGAAACGCAACCAATCGCGCAGCTCTTCGGAAATGCAAATTAACCAAGCCAATTTAAGACTGCACAATGCACAAACAAATGCGAACGGCATGCACAATAATCTCGATAATTGCGACGCGGCCAGCGCCTGTTCCACATGTTCATCCAGCTCCTCCAGCGATATGGACGACTACTTATATCGTATACCAGCGCGTAGACACTACGGTGGCGTGCGTGTATCCTACGTGCCGAACGATGCGATCGCTTACGAACGAAAACGAAAACAAGCGGCAAGCGAGCAACATTTGGGTAGCGGCGGCTCATTGATTGGTGGCACAGCAGCTTCGATGACCGCATCGACAAGCGGCGCTACGAGTGGCGGGGATACGAAGAACTGTATTATTTCATGACAGCCTCCGATATTGCCGCCGCCACCGCTTAGCCTTGGTAGCTACTATATATTGGATACGATCTTGGAGGAGCAACGTTTGGTAATGGATGAGAAGCCACCAGGTTGTTTGAGGCGCGTTTGGCGTATGCTAACCACCGGTGGAAAGGGTAAGAAAGCGCACGTAGAATTGCAGTGTGTGTGAAGGGGAGGATAAGAAAAATAGTTATTGAGAGAACATGTAAGAAAAATGATATATGTATATTGTTCTAAGAAGGAGTGTTTTAAGCATGTCAAAATTAAGAGGTTGTACTAAGAGATATTCTAAAGAGATCTGGCAACAATATATATTATTTAGAAGACCGGAAGCTCACTTTAGTTATGCATATGTTGTTGTTTACGAACTCGTCGCATTGTTTTCATCCAAACTGTCAGTCAATAGGCGCGCAAAATTTGAAAACATTTTTTCTATTTTTTTTTCGACAAATATTGTAATCCTGACCATCAATGACATCACAATCATAGAGGTTGTACAAAATTATATCGAAAGAGCATTTGTTCTGTATATAAGAAGCACTGAAGAACTTCCATATCGTAGTTGTAGCTGTAAACTAAAAACCTTTAATTTATATAAAATTAAAAAATATCAAAAACGAAAGTGAACAAAAAGAGACACATATTTAACGAAACTTTGTACAAAAGATACACATATGAATATCGATTTACACAGTTTTATGCATAAGCAAGTAGCAATTAAGTGTATGTATTTTATTAATTACCAGTTACAACTATTACAAACTTGCACAAAATGTATATAACTATGTAAATATATAAATATATATATGTACTAAAAATTGCATTTAAATTTTATTTTTTATTAAATAAAACTCAACAAGGTGAAAAAATGCCGAAATTGGAACGATTACAAATGGAATATTGCTTGCTATGTTATGTGACATTTTTGATTTATGCGCTTTTCATATTAAGACCATTTGTTCGTTGTATTTTAAAATATGAATATATTTTACTTTAGTAAAGTCAAGTAATCGTGTGTTCAATGAAAGATGAGAAATCAAGAAAATTTGTTTTCTAATATCAAATAAAAGCAACCAAATTTTGTTGATGTCAAGTGTTGAAATAAGCAAAAAAAAAAAGTTGACTTCGGTTGTCAGCTATAACACCCTTCAACAACTTTAGGCCAGTTTGTATGGCAGCTATATGCTATAGTGACTCGGTCTGAACAATTTCTTTTAAGATTCTTCCGTTGCCTTAGATAATAACCCATGCCACGTTTGATTAACATATCTCGTCAAACGAACAAGTTTTCAGTACAAGCACTTGATTTCGATCGTTCAGTTTATTACAGCTATACGCTATAGTGGTCCGATATCGGCCACTCTAACAAATGAATAGCTTCTTGGTGAGAAAAGGACGGCTGCAAAAACTGAAATATATATATATACAGACGAACGGATAAACGGGCAGACAGACGGATTTAGAAGATGCTTAGTTTATGCAAACTGGGAAATGATGAGTCGATTAGACTATGTAGCATTTACAACAAATTGCTCTATTATAGTCAAGTGCCGATATGTTGGTACTTATATAAAAGGAAAAACATGAGAACACAACCACACGTTCCCAGTTCCACCACATATCTTTTTGTTTTAGTACTAGTCGCCCCTCGATTGGCAGTGGTAAACCTCCCAATGTATTCTCGGCGTAAAAACTTCTCACAAGTAGTCTCTTAGAGTATGTTCACACGGGCACAGTTTTTGTCGCCCAAGCCGGTTTTTGTAGGCGAGGGAACGACGAGAAAAGATGCTTTGTTATTTTGTTCGTAACAGTTCGCTGTGACGCACTTCGGCATTCCTTTTCATTCTGAAATTATTTTCATGGTTAGCAGTAGCGCTCGGTTGTAAATGGATATATGTTTATAAGCTATTATATCTAATTTTTATATGTAATATGCAAATATGTATGCAAATATCCATTAAATAATAGACATGTTTTAAAAAATGATGAATAAAGATACAAATTAGCTAAGCAAAAATATTTTTGTGCAACGCGTACATGAAGCGTTATGAATTTGAAAATGCAATATAAAAGAAAATGCAGAAAATTGTCGACATGTGAACGCAATGAGCAACATCAAAACAGAATATGACGATAAAGAGCGACAAAGAGAGTCCTCGTTTGGACACAGTCTTGCCATACGGGGTTACTTTATCGTATCGTAGTTTTATCCTCTTGTCACTAGAAACTTAATTGATGTTGTTTTCAACGATTATTTTCGAATAATTCAACTCTATCGAAACACATACTCGTGCATATGTACTCTAGAATAGAGTAATTTCAGCCACCAAAACAAAGAATAAATTGAAATTTTGTTATCGAAATTTCATCATTTGAAATATGAAATTTTTAATGTGAAAACAAAAAAAAAATAAAAGTCAATATTGTAATAAACATTTCTTTGATTTTAAACGGATACGGCAAAGTAAAATATTCACATGTAAATTATGAATATAAAAGCTTTAAAAATCTTTTGAAAGCACAACAATAACGAGTAGCAACAACGAATGGCGAAATTCTTCCACAGAAACACTACAAAAGTAGGTCTATGGTAAACAAAAAAGCATTCCATCACTCCAAGTGTTCAAATATTGATTTCTGCGACAGGGAATGGCTCATGTAAGGTTTCACAAAAACAAATAAAATTGATTGAAAATAATGGAGCTGTTAACATTGAAGCACAGAAAGTGAAAAGGCAACAACACAACGCACAAAATATACTTCCAAAATAGAACAATAAATAAAATATGCTACAAAGAATAGAGAAAAATACATTTCTCACACACATAAAATACATACATACATATGTAAATATTTCAATGGCTTTTAAGTGTATATAAAAGTATGTAGTTTATTAATGTTTTGATTGGGCGCGAATACACAGAAATACACATAATTATAATTACAAGAAGCCAAAGGAGTATTTGGCTCACGGGCGAATCGGCGAAATCGGAGGAGAAAAATACTGATAATGTGTATATTTAGTTATGAAAATATTCGCGTGTTTATTTCATTTATAATTAGTAAAAAATATTTTTAAATGTAAATTATGTTGGCATTTTATTTAATTTAATATTTTTTAACTTTTTTTTTATTGAATTTACCTAATATTTTTATATGAATTTTTTATAATACCATATATATGGTTTTTTAAAATTTATGTAATTTGTACTTCTTCTATTTTTTATTTAACTCAATTTAATTTGATTTGATTTGATTTTATTTAATTTTATATAATTTAATTTTATTGTATTTTATTTTATTTTCTTTTCTTTTATTTTATTTTATATATTATTTAATTTTATTTTATTATATTTTGCTTAACATATTTTTTTAATATAATTTAATTATTATTTTATTTTATTTTATATATTATTTAATTTCATTTTATTATATTTTATTTAATTATTATTTTATTTTACTTTGTTTTATTTCAGTATATTTTATATTTTTATTACTTCCCTATCACATCCAAACTTTGTTTTAATCCAATATTTGTTTTAATTTTTCACATAAATCACCCTCCGAAAACCAACCATCAAAGCTTAAAATGCCTTTGTTTATTCTCTCGCAGCCAATTTTGCTTGAATTTAAATTTAAATTTATTATTTGTTAACAATCGATGTTATCAAATAATTATACCGATACAAAAATTTAATTTTATTTAAAAAAGTGTTTATAGTCTAACTAAAATCTATTCTTTTCAAGCAAAATTTTGGCAAATTTTTAAAGCTTTATTTCAAATAAAAAAAGCTATTGATATGTAAAACAAATATAAACAAAACAAAAGTCAATCTCAAAATTGCGAACAAAAGATTTTATGTAATTTCTAATTCGTCACACATTCAACTGTTAGGGAAAGCGAAATTTTTACAAAAATAAAAATTTATAAAGTCGAAAATTCCGAACAAAAGATTTGATGTAATTTCTTACTCTTTCAGCTTCAGCTTTTAAAGAAGGTGAAATTATTACAATAATAATATTTCATTAAGTCGAAAACAATACAACTATCCTTCTACAACTGTTTTATTAATATATAAAATATGCATACTATTGATTTAGCACGCCATAGTATGAATACTAAATCCGCCTTTTGATTCTGTTATTTTGAGCTTGATTTATTCTTTATTATTGACTTTTTATTTCTTAAAATACTTTCGTTTTCTTTTCACAAAAGCAATGAAATTATCGAAAGTGAATACCCTTAGAAGTGAGTCATAGCAGAGAATGTTAATTTATACCATTAGCAGTATGTTGAATTAACAACCTCTGCTAACATACATAGTATTGTAGTTATTATCGAAACCAGAAATGTACACTGTAATGTTAAAAAATATGGTATATATGAGACCGTATGTAAAAGATACCTTAAATGTGTGAAATGAATATAATATGTAAATATATAAAACGTTATATTTTAGGCGGTAAAACCTATATGCTAGCATTAAGTATATCATTATTGAACGCTATGTAAAGTGAGTGAAACTGAAATAAACTATTGCATTTAACAAAAATCAAAAGTAATTCTGGTGTTTTATTACTTCGTATTGGAGTATACAAAACAAAAAGAAGTGATATTTGCCTTCACGAGTCTTCACTAAATCCCTTACAAGCCATATGAATACTGAAGATGATGAACTCAATGGTCGTCCAAAAGATGCTATTATGTATGAAAATATCAAAAAATATTGGATACATTTTGGACATATCTTCGATGAATATTTAGATACGTGAAAGCTCTTTGCAAATGAAATGCCGCTCGAACATACATTCGAGACTGTACTTTTTCTCAAATCAATGAAAATAATGACAAAATCCCTTCAAATTTTTTCTGCCGCAATCTCTAGATACATATGTATGTATATCCCGTAGGGAGTTTTTCTTGTCCTTAGACTTCAAACTTAGAAAAAAATGTTGCAAAAATAAAAAGATAATCGATGAGATTGAGGCTTATTTTCACGCAAGTGCTTCTTTTACTATAAAAAGTGATATCTAAAATGGGAAGATCGCTGTTAGCATTATATCACTCGCGATAGGAACTATAATTATAAACTGAAGCAAATGTTGATAAAGAGTTTGGAATTATTACTACATGAAATAATTGTTTCACCTTTAGAAAAAAAAATATTAGCTTCAAAATAAAGGTTTAGAGGAAGGAAACTAAAAGGCAACCTTAGATTCTAAATATAAAGCAACATACTTGCTTTTGAATAAATGCTTCAATCGATGCCTGACCTTTGGTTGCTGAGTTCTAAGAATCTTGATTTTACTTAAGGTGATATTCGTGTTGGCAAAGAACTTCAGAACTGATATCCCAACGAATGTGTTAGTATTGTCCTGCATAAAGAGTGTTAGAGTGTTGCATGTGGTTTTCAAGAAATAAAATAAAACGCATAAAATTTAATGTTAGGGTCAAGATTTTAGTATTATTATATATACGGGATTGTCATGTCAACAGTAACGCGCCGAATATTTTTTCTAAGGTTTCAATCAGCTCAGGCGTATCTGCGTAGATAAGTGACTTCACATAACTCAAAATCTCAAAATAAAAAAAAAAACGGTGTTAGATCGCACGATATTCGAGGCCACGCCACAAGCTCACGTTGCGAAATAATGCGTTCACCAAAAATTCTTTCTTCAATTAATTGATTGTTTCGTTGGTTGTTTGGAATGTAGCATCGTCTTGTTATAACCAAAGTCCACATACTCCAATTCATACACGAAAAAGTCATTAATTAGAGCATTCCCATTTGACTGTAACATTATTGCGACTTCTTTTTTAACCTTTAAGCGCATTCTATACATTTTCGCTGATAATAATAATAATACCCATTGCATGCATATCTTGTCCTAAATAGCTTATCTTCCCTTACTCCGCGCACCCCTCACCTAAGGGAGCACAATTAATTCAATCACGGCCCAAGCGTCGAAATGTCATTTTCAATGAATGTTATCTTGACGAAGACACCGATTTTGAAGAAAACTAAACTTAAGATGATTTAATAATCTTCTTTTTTTTATTAGTTACTAAATATTTATAGCTACTTTCTAGCACCTATAATAGTTTTTTGTTACAAACGGGTGATACATTTTTTGATTTTTTGACAGATCACGTGTGAATCGTGTCAAGTTGTCAAATTGTTCGACTTAATTACGAAAATTCACGTACTGTAAATAATCTGTTTCGCGCGCTTCGCTCAATTTATGGTCAACATAATTTGCCAACTGAGCGTACAAATCGCAACTTCATCAGCAAAAGAGAAATAATTTTTTTTTTATCTGTAACTTAGTTTTTACATGAAGCTTTTTTTGACAAAATAATTTTATAGACAATACATAATGTTCCTAAATGTAAAAAATTAAAAGAAATTGATTAATTAGTGATTTATTTCTCTGAAATATTCCATAGGTATTTTATGTTACGCGCGACCGCTGCTCTTACAAATTTTGACGTAAGAATTTTTGATTGAATATTAAGATTTTTTTCGATATTAGGTCGAAATAGAGAAGAAAAAATTAATATTATAAATTTAAAAAAGTACACTGTATTATTTGGGACATAAAAAGGTAAGTTTGCACCAAATATCGCTAAAAACAAAGTTTTTTGTACAACAGAAAAATAAAAAAACCGAAAACTTGGTTTTTTGAATTTTTCATATAAATTTCGAGGTTATGTGAAAAAAATCAATACGCAATCTTTTCATTACCGACAACATTGCCATATAACTTTCCTTTATAGGACTCGTAGTGTTTTTTTGTCAACAAAAATGATCTACCCTGGTCTACCCTTGTATTGTAAATATACATACATATGTATGTGGCTCTTAAGTTCAATTATATCTGCACTCTTGTTATAAATATTTTGTTAAAACACCTGTTTTCGTGTAAATGAAAAGCACACACCCAATAACAAAATCATTTGTCGTCATTAATCAAACTAATTGATACAAATTGCAGACAAATATTACACTTGAAATTTACACAAAACATTAATTAACTAAAATACACGAAATAACCGAAGAAAACAGAATGAAAGAGAATATAAATGCCAAAGCAACAATAATAGTAGCAATGGTAAGCAATACAAAGTAGAAATTAACATTTACATCATAATTGTGTGGTCGAGCATAGACAGACGTCACCCAAACAGTTGTCTATAACATTTTCTAGTGAACGAGCAGATATAATGAGAAAGAAAGTAAAAACATGTAATAAACAGAGCTTAACAATTACTTGACGAAGTAATCATTTGTTTTAAAAAGAAGTAAAGAGGAAAGCAAATGAAAATGATTACAATTGGTTAATGCCGGTGTGCTAAAAATTAAGAGAGTGTGACAGGTTCCATAAGGCTTTGATGATATAAACAATTTATAAATTTCCGAAGAAATATAGAAAATACCATCTGATCAAATATGACCCGGACTGGTCTACTTAACTTGGACGCTCCAACCGGATCGTCAAAAAAGTTTTCACTAGATTGGAACAACTCTTTTTATGTTCATAAGAAGTCTTTGATCGCGACACGAAAATTTGGTCTGTCAATTTTTACCAGGGAAAAAAATATTTAAAAACGAATTTGCTTTCGCCGATGACATTGAAAAAGTTGAATAAACAGTGCTTGAAAATCGACTTGTTGATATCAGAGAGGTAACAGAGCATCTCAAGATCTCTTACGGAGCGACTCAATAAATTTGGTTAAAATTTTGGGTATGACGCGTGTCGTTAAAGACTTGAATTTTTTGAAAAAACGGCCAGGAGAAGAGAAATGCTTGACAACGTACCTGAGGACCACACATTCATTAAAAGCATCATTATTGGGGACAAGATGTAGATTTATGAATATGACGTCGAAACTGTGCAATAATGTAGGTAAAAAAAGATATTTTATAATAATGTCGTTGATACTAACGAGGTTATCTAGCATTTCGTTAGTAAATTGAAATCTGGAGTATTATTTTCAGTCTACCATACTATAAGCGTCGCTTTCGTATTGTGTGTATAGATTCATGGTGCAGAATGAGTTTAAATTAATTTAACGGCACGGTCATGTGCAGTATAAGTTTCAAGTTGTTTACATAGTGACGTTTTTGCAAGCTCTTGAAGTTTTAAGACGACTGGATTATAGTTGATTCGTTTTTAAAACGCTCCTTTAAACTTCGCCACTTTATGTCTATAGGTAGTATTCACATACGCAGAACCCATACTTTGCTCCACCGCACACTTTGCCATTGAATTCCTATTAGTTTCGTTACTACCCGAGACTGCTTGAAATAACACCACCACCGTTCCTGATCGAAGGTGTTAGAGAGATGCCCATAGGCTTTAATCGAATCAGTTACTGTACTCTAACAGAACAATTCTCTTGAAAAATGTCATTAAATTCCATTCTTTTAATTTGGGTTAATCAGTTGTCTTTGACCAACCAACCGAGAAAATTATCGTTGTTAAAATGGATTAATAGTAAGAGAATGTAAATTTTTATGCGGAAAACTTTGCCGCAAAACGTGTCTTCGGGGCGGCGATAACCTTCTCAGTTGGCTAAAATTTGTTCGGACTAATAAATATTTCAAGTTTAGAAAAAACATTAACTTCGGTTGAACTGAAACTATAATACCCTTTACAAATACAAAATATTCCATAGAACTTGATTTTGATCAGTAATTTTGTTTGACAGCTATTTGCTATAGTCGTACGATCTAAACAATTTCTTCGGTGCTTATACCATTGTTCGCAATTCGTAGCCTAATTCGAACCAATTGACAATCGTGACGTCCTTGTGAGTCCCAGAAAACGGTGGACAACGCCTGTTGTTCGGAGTACCCATATCACTGACAGCTTTTTTTTTGAATATTTTATGCAGAATATCAGTACAAGGTGTTTTTATATGCGTATTGTTTCATCTACCTTGCGCCTTTTGCTACGTTATTCGTTGTAGCTCCTGGAAGGTTCTTGGGCGTGGCTTTTCAAAAATCTTACGTGCGCTGACATTGCAACTTGTTAAAACAATTTAAGATATTCGTCATCGAAGTGGAACTGTATTCCATTCAACATTTTCGAATTTTAAGTATATCTATAGTCCATAGCACTCATACACATACACGCCGTATATATGTATTAGAAGTATATGTGTATATACGTCTTCTCCACATTTAACTTTCACTCGTTGTACTAGTGCGGTTTTCATTTTTATAGCGAACTCATGCAGCGCCATTAAATCACTTTTGCCACTCTCACACACACACAAACACACATAAATCCCAGGAATTCCTAAGCACACCCACACACCTTCCAACACTTATCCACCTGCTTTTGCTGCTTCGCATTTTATATCCGCAGCACTTTTATACTTTTCCTGTGCCAACAGTTCCTCTTCCTCCCCCACCTCCGGTTCTGACTGACTGGCGCATTTTGGCTTTTGTGTTGATCACTGCTTCTTCTTCTTTCTACTTGCATTTTTACGAGTTTTTAAGTAGTCGTAAAACGTAGCACTTGATGCGATATTAAACGACGTTTACATTAATGTT